GGGGGGGGGGGAACAGAAGAGTGTTTCAAAGATGTAAGAGACAAACGCAAAGGTAGATGAAAAGTGAGTTGAGTACTGTGAAGTAGTCGATTATGACATACAGTGGGGTGATGGTAGTTTAAAGTGAGAAGTCAACTGGCGATTAATAGACTTTTTTGCCGTATGAGAATACGTTGCCCAGGGTGCACCACGTGGAGGTAAGTCTACCGCACACCCCAATACATTGAAGATCATTTGTGCTTTCATCACATCCAAATTTCACACTCTCAGCAAACGCAGTCAACTTAACTAGGATGGTTTATTCTTTTTAGTGAAATTGCATTTCAAACGACAAGACCTTCGATGCAAGTAGAAATTACTATCTCAGAGGAAAGAGGTAAATACAGTTGAAAGGAAATAAAAAAATTAAAACGAAATCCATTTTTAATGCGATTTTATTAATCGAGAGCAGATAATTGCTTGATTTCAGGTGCAGGACTTCGCCAATGCCCTATAGAAGTATCTGAGTTCGACAGTTCAGTGAGCCATCACCGTGAAGCTAAAAGAGAGCACTTACTGTCCATTAAAAAATCTCACGGGGAGCATTTGAAGGCAAGTTTTTTTTATTTGCCAATAAATACATATTGCGCTCTCTTGCTAATAAATTGTACCAATCAGAGATAGAATGTCTGAGAATTTTGCGCTCTCAATTAGCCTATTGTAAACTCGATAGATATTTTATCGATTTCGGATGCCAGAGAAGTATGCATAGTTTCAAGAATTGTACATGAATATTTTAATAAATAATTGCGGAGGTAGTTGAAACATACATGCGAGGGATTACGTAGTTGACACTAACACCTAGTCTACGGTAGTCGATCGACTCCAAAGTAGTACTGGGGATAATTATCAAGGACACCATGTGTGTCCTGCCAAAGGGTGCTTTCAATGAGTGAGCAGCAATGTTGAGTTGAAGTGGGGCCACTATTAAGCGATGTCGTTGTTCGTTGACTAGGAGAAAGGAGGTATTCTTCTTTTTCTTCTTTTTTACTCTACACCGGTGTGAAATTCTTGTTACCAATTGTACCCGATCCAACATTCAGAAATGCAAATTCAATTTTTTATTGATGAACAATCATTTTGAATTGTTCTAGATTAATTGGCTGTCAATTATAATTCTCCCAATACCGCCGTCTGATGCGGTTACTTAGGGACTGTTGCCAGCAATTGTGTGAGGTATTTTCAATGTAATGCAGCGTTCCTGAGAGGAAGGGTGGGGGGTAGCTGTCCTATTTACATAATTATTAATTGTAAACGAGACCGCAATTGTGGGAGGATGTTATTTATTTATTCCAAATGGCAGGCTTTATGATATTTATCATTAGCCCTGATTTTCTGGACTTGGATCTTCTTGTCTGGCGACATCCCTCGAGCATTCCACTGGAGGATCTGAAGACGTTGTGATTCGCCCTGACGAGGGCGATTTTTCTTATAGCCTTTTTTAAAGCTAATCATAATTAATCGAAGTCAAAATACCGAGTGATAGACTTTTTTGCCGTAAGAAAATACGTTGTCCAGGGTGCACCACGTGGGGGTAGGTCTATCGCGCACCCCTATTGTGGGAGGATGAAGTGTCTTTAAGTGAACTGCTGAATGACAGATTTTGTATAAAAGTTATGTTTCAGGCAAGATATGTATCTTTCTAGGAATCAGAGCCTTCGAATGCGTGCAGTAATTTGGCCAATAACAAGTTGTCATTCGAGAGCGAAGCTTCTCCATCAAGGACCCACATATCTCGGTTTATTTCCACATCGATTTCGAACAGAAGTCCAGGTCAGTGAGAATCTAACAAGTTGAGTTAAATAAAGTGAGGTACCATCAATTGAATGAGTGAGTAGAATTGCCTCAAAATAGCGGGTTAAGGTTCAATCCAATTCTGGTAATTTTCATTCACATTAAGATAAGAACAAACATTGAAACAGAGATGTGTAGCGGATTGCTACCTTAGTAAAGCCTGACCGGTTGAGAATTGTAACGGATTGCTACCTTAGTAAAGCCTGACCGGATTGCATTGTAGCGGATTGCTACGCTAGTAAAGCCTGACCGAACAGAAACCACGGATTGCTACGCTAGTAAAGCCTGACTGACTCAGAAATATTGCTACCTTAGTAAAGCCTGACCGACTCAGAAATCTCTATGGCAGATTCTCCTACATCTAGCTAGACTCCCAGAACCAGATAGGCTATAGCCCAGTTATGAAAGGAAACAGACGTGCAGCACGGAGCACGTTTATTCAGTACGGATATGTTGCGAATAAAGTGTACACGCAGGGAGCTTAATCATGATCAGGATTGCTGATTAGGTTAAACAAACAGAGGTTAATGATTGGTCACTGTTTGTACGGAAACAAACAGAGGTTAATGATTGATCACTGTTTGTACGGTAGCACAAACAGAGGTTAATGATTGGTCACTGTTTGTACGATCGCACCTCCCAATCCTGGCGTGCAGGCATGCGATGACGTGTCCCTCAGATGTTTAATAAATACGTGTATTTCAAATGCATTAATTCTATGATAGTTCGAGAGAGAACACTGAAGATCTTTCAAATGAGCCAAGAAATAATAGCGGAGAGAAAGCGCCAGGAGCTTGCGAACCCAATTCTCCCAATGCCCTCATCTTCCACTCCGCCAGTGCAAATTAAATCCGGTAAGAAAGATGAATTGATGACGTGAATTGTAGAGAGAGAGAGAGAAAAGTTATCTAAATGCAGGAATGCTAACAAAGAATGTTGTCATTTCAGGAATTCTTAAAGGTCCTGCTAGCCCGAAGGCCAATAAACGAGTCTCCTTTTCTGGGTTTAGAAAAGTCAGGTATTTCCTTTCACCTGAGAAAAGGCGATTGACTGCTCACGAGTAAGTCTTTATAGATGAAGAGTGCTGACATTGACAACCTTTAACCACCTTTCTATTTTGTCACATTAACACTTCTCTAGGTAAATTCTATATTTATTTATTTCAAATGGCAGGCATTTTGATAGTTATCATTAGCCATTTAGCTGACTTCGGGCTTCACAGGGGGAAGGAACTTCAAAGTAACAGCAAATCGAGGGGGGGGGGAGGGGAACAGAAGAGTGATTTACAGTTGTACAAGAAACAGACACAAAGGTAGAGAAAAGGTAGGATGAGTACTTTGGACGTGGTAGAGATGAGTACTTTGAAAGGGGTCGAATATGACATACAGTGTGGGTGATGGAAGTTTGAAGTCAGAAGTCAACTGCCGCAGTGGGGTCATGGCAGTTTGAAGTCAGAAGTCAACTACCGGTTTATAGAATTTTTTGAATATGAATACACGTTGTCCAGGGTTCACCACGTGGAGGCAAGTCTATCACTTACCCCAGTAAATTCAATATAATTCTGCTCATCCATGACAGATTATGATGTTAAGCTATTATTTCTACGGCAGACGAGGAAATGAATAATTTGTTTACATTAACGCCCCTTTAAGTGAATTCATCCAACTTCTAGTCAGTTGGAGGCTATTAGTTCCAAGACAGGCTATGGTGAAAAGCTATTATTTTCATGGTACAGAGGGAACTGCGTAGGTTGTTGAGAGATTTCAAGTACTTGTAGATATTGCTTTGAGTCTCGAATAATGTCTATTGGTAAATGATCTCTGAATATCCACCAGTTTACCACCTTCCATCCTTGGCGCAATGTCCGACCCCACGAGCTCAGGTAATAAAGAACCCGAAACCAAAAGTGCTAAAGAACTGGAGATCTTGACTGAAAGTGCTGCAGAGCACAATCGACGAACCCCTAAAATGTGTGCTGAAGCTGAAGCGAAAGCAGATACGAGTAGCGATCGAACTCGCTTTAACGTCCAAGATCACTCCACGTGTGAGAATTCCACGGTGTGTATTTCACTTTCTTTTCCCTTTGCAACTTTATTTGCACAAAAATTTGACTCAAATTGTCCTTAAATCCCCTTTAGAAAAAAGAAAAGATGCGCTGTGATAGCATTGCAATTGTTGGAGACCTGGACAACTTCTTAAGCCTCTAACAAACGTGATCTCGATGTAGCACCAGCCAAAATTTCACATTTATTTGTTTCGTTAAATAAATACTAATTTGGTAAATCGGCATTTTACATAGTAGACAGGCATGTCAATGTATGTGTGTTGTAGATGTGTTTTCGGTCCGGGTTACAAGTGGATAAATTTAAATAATATAAATATAATAAATACATAATATAATATAAATAATATAAAGATATCGAATTATGGAAATGCTAAGAACATGAAAGGTATTGCAAAATGCGCTTAGGAAATTTGGCTTTCAAAATGAATAGTGAAGATTTTGACCGCAATTTGTGAAAACTTAAAATTTCAATAATTTGAACTCATGTCTTCCACAAGAGCAATATTCTCTCTTCTTCTTCACAATTTTACGAAAATGATTTCCACTGCCATTAAATTAATGAAATTTTAGCTAGACGTGAGGTCACATCCAATCTCTAATGGGGCGTCTTAGTGATTAAAAAGTGCGAAATATTATCTCTAGTGGAACAAAAACAATTAATAGACTATGTCTTTGCAACTTGGTTACAATCTAACAGTAGAAATGATACCCAAGGACCAAGAGGAAGAGGAGGGGGTGGTGACAAGGTCAGAGCACGTATGCGGATATGCGAACGTTGGATGGACCTTATATTCGTGGATTCAATGAGGAACCCATATTGCATACAAAGAAATCTGTGGTTCCTTACTACGCGGACACAAGTTGAATAAAGGGTGTTTTCGAGGCTTAGCGTTTCATAATTCAATATTATTGCTTGATTAGTAAATGCACCAAATTAAACGTTGACATCACAAAGGGCGTTTTTGATTGGTCAACCGTTGGCTAACTTCCATTTGACGAGAGTAAAAGAGAGAAGAGAGAAGAGTAGGTCTTGTAGAAAGACTGAGCACTTCTTTCACTTCTAATCATGCCCACCACTTCATGTCTTTCTAAAGAATGGGTTATGAGGAGTTTCAAAGCAAACAATTACCTGTTACTTGTAAGTTTCGCCCAATGAGTCCTTATTCATCCACTTTATAACAGATATCTGGTGTATGTTGGATTGTAATGGGATCTGTATTCGCATATACTTCTCCAAAATATTTCACGAACCCACCTACTGTGGGCACGCTTATTATAATAGCCGGAGTTTCCATTTGCTCTATTGCAGGTATGGCCTTACTTATAGAATGCGACAAAAGGCTAAAGTACTTGGTGGTAAATTCTATTTGCTCATATTTTCTTCATTTTTCACACTAGTTTACACCTTTGCAAGCGCTTCTAATAATTCTGGAAGCATTTATGGGTTACGCACTATGCCATAAAACCCTTTTATGGGGTTCAATAATTTGCACTTTAAACATAGTAAAAATCATAGGATTAGTGTGGATAATCTTCCTGTTGATAAGGAATCGAAGAAATCTGGGATACCAATGAAAGTATGACTTGTTCTCCGTTCATGTTGATGAATATGTTGGAAGTTAATAAATTCTATCTCTCGCTCTCTCTCAATCTGTTCTTTTATTGCATTTGGCCAGCGGGTAATGTGAGGAATAATATCAAAATTAGAAGATGAATTTAATGTTGACCCCCCCCCNCCCCCCCCCAGTAACAAGCAAGATACTTCGAGCTGGAGATGCCTTGGAGTAGTGGTGTGTTGGACGATAGTATACGAGGCCAACAGTTGGGAGAGATCTGGGGGAAGAGCAGTTGGGGGTGGGGGGGACGATTGAAGTCCACAAGCTGGAGTGGAATGGAGGGTTAATGTTGTACAAATTATCTCATATTCGTTAATTAACATGCAGGTCATATAGGCAGATAGTTTCATTGACATGTGGCAACTCAATCTCCCATTTCCTTTGCATAAGTAGTTACTTCACTATTCAACAGTAAGTTAAATTACACATTTATATCACTATTATTTGCGTTATATCACTTCATTACTTCTTTCACCATTAGGCTGTAATCACGTTAGAAGTTTAAAGTCTACTCTTTTTATTCCTTCCAACCGCGGGGAATTAATTACCTCGTATAAACGCTAAAACGTTCCACTAGAATTTGGATGTGACCTCACGTTGTGAAATAAAGGCAAAAACTTCATACTAAGACACCATTTAATAGTGGTAACAGGTAAAATTAGCGTAAAATTATGAAGCAGAAAGAATATTACTCTCATGAATGGCACGAGTTTCATTTCTCAAAATGTCATACCTTTAATTTAGCACACATTGTCAGCAAAATCTTCACGGTCGAGAGGTTTGAAGTCAGAGGTCAACTGCCAGTTTATAGACTTTTTGTCCTATTAGTATACGTTGCCAAGGCTGCACCACGTGGAGGTAAGTCTTTCGCAGTAACATTATCTTTCCTTTTGGATCCCCCAACACTACCATTACTGGAGAAACAGCCCTCGTGTGGATTCAGACAGAATCAAAGGTGTGGTAGGGGTGCTAATCGAGTAGGGAGTGAAACTGGTATGATGGTGGGGTGAGTGCAGAACCTCTGTGACAACCACTAATCAATAGTCGCTGTAAGCTATAACTATCGCTCAATTGTATTTGAATTGCAAAGTTCTGTGTCAGGCGCACACATATGTCTGTTGCTTCAACGTCGTGGGGACAGTTTGGCTAGCTTCTAGGGCCTTTGCGTACCAGGAGATTTTATCATGGAGATTCCTGGGAAGAGAAGTTCGCGGCTTATTCATGTAGCAATCCACTACAGACTCATAAGAGAAATGCCGAGGTAGTTACCGTTTTATCAACTATTTGCTAATACCTAATGATCAAATTAGAGTTGAAGCTAATGATTAGATTTTGCTCAGCATATCTAAATTATTTTCTCTGTTTCAATTGAGATATATTTGTTCAACAGTACACAGAGGTACAAATATTAACATTGCATTGAAAAATGTTATTTTCTTTAGTCTTTAGTCATTATAAAACTCACGGAGAATTTCTTCATATTTCAGTGAAATTGTTAGTCACTGCACATTTAAAGTAAATAATATATTTTCAGTAAAATCTTCACGGTCAAGGTTGAACATTAAATTTCGTAAGCGGTGTTAAGCTCGGATGAAAGGTGAAATACTCCAATCCATCTCTACTGTTGAAACTGTTTCCAACATATCCATCTTACTTTTAAAATTTTGCGTGAGAATAAAGTTGGAGTAAGTGTCTTGGACTTCTAAAGTAAGTAAGTCTTGCCCTGCTCATGCCACAGTAACACAATGGCTTCACTTTCCTGCACACGCCAATATCGATTATCAGATTTCCACGTCCACTTTTACACATATTGGATCATCTCTGAGCAAGCACTCGTTATATACCGTTCATCTCACCCAAAAATCCAATCAAGCATTTGTACCTTTGAGTTATTTGAATTATTTAACTTATTGAATACAATTTAATGGGGTGTTTGGCCATCTACATTTCTACATGTGCGCCGATGAGAATTAATTTCATAAAGGCCCAGATTGTCCATTATATTACCTGCTAATGAAGTAATCCATGTACCTGACAACCGTTTATATCTAGACGTCGTTCATCTAGACTTTCGGTAAAGCGACATTCATCTGGGACTTTATATGAAGACACAATTGAAAATATTGACAAAGAGAATGAATTCTTGGGTAATGGAGATGGCGTGCTTCCACTCTCTGCGAAACGCCGTGCATCAGCTTCCCATTGCAATAAGCGATCTTCGCTGATCTCCACGACTTCTGGCATCTCCATAGCAGTGGAACAAACTGAAGACGATGATACTGACGATAAGAGTTATAAAACTATCACTCCTCCTGCTAAAGACAAATATCTCGGTTTCAGCTACACTGGAGGCATCTCTGGATTCTACAAACACTAAGATCGTAGGCAATTTGTTGCATTCATGAGATGTCAATTTACTTATGCTATTTTCTTTCTTGGGTCAGTGAACACCTGGTTCTGTAGTTTGGTGCTTTGGTCAAGACTGGTCACAGTGAAGTTAGGATGGAAGCTAATTTTGCTTTTGATGTGCTCTTTTCATTTTCTATGCGTTCTATCATATCCATAATTTGAAAGCTGTTGAGTTAGTCTTTGTTCCTAGGCTTTCTTTGGCGTTCTGGTCTTGGTGTCAGTGCTCTTTAGGAAATGTTAGCTTCTAGATTTAATTCCTATTGGTTCCATGGCACCAACAAACTGACAACTCTGTAGAATAAATTTAAACGATAGAGGAGCACAACTCAATTGACTACAAGTTAGCAATATAGTCGTGGTGCTGGCTTTTCAATGATGGAACTCAGATTAAAAAAATGTGACTCACTCATTCGTGTTTCAAATTGATCTTTACCTGTGATGGGTGTGACAGCTCACTGCTTCGAGGTTCTAATGGAGCAATAATCCCATTATTCCTTTTCGACCCTCTGTTCCACCACCCGCCCGTGTAAGTATAGGCGCGTCGATGTTTAACTTGAGGTAGAACCTGGAGCTGAGCTTTCTCTTTCCCGACTTGCCTTGGCCTTAAGTGTGGCCACAACCGAGGGGCTTTGAAGGGGTGTTCAGCTTAAGGTCAAACGCTAAATCACCCCATGAGTCATGACTTCATGGGTGTCTTAATACATAAAATGAATCAGACTGTCCAATGTATCCTGAGGTCACATATTTGAGGTCTTTCTGTTTAACCGAATGGTCTAAAAAAGTATTCATTGATGTATTTTTGATCTATTGTTGGCTCTACTTCATACTCTTGTTTCTTTTCCTTTTTTAGTTGAAGTCTCCGTTTCGTTCCCTTCTCTCTCTCATCTCGATTATTCCCTTTCGTACCAGCCTGATCTTGTTTCCTCCCCTAAATTACTATTTCCATGGTATCATCTTAACAACATTCATCCTTTGTATTTCGTTTTTTATTATTCATAATTCGCTCGACCCTTCTCGATCCATTCAGTCCACTATTT